GATGCTTTTCCGCAAAAGCACTTTTTGCGGAAAAGCGTCCGTGGCCAATCTAGACGCGCTCTGCCATTTTCGCAATTGGGGCTTTTTTGCGGAAAACAAATCTCTGCTGTCTACACTGGCCCTTTTGCACAAAAGTTTTTCTGAAAAAGACTTTTGCCCGAACGGGAGCAGCATAGTATTTCCGCAAAAGCACTGACAATCTTACATGAGATCGTCAGTGCTTTTGCGGAAATTCAAGCGGCCAGTGTAGACAGCTGGCAAGTTTTTCCGCAAAAGCAGATGATTTTGCGGAAAAACTTGCCAGTCTAGACACAGCCAACGGGTTTCTGCCACAGCCCAATTCCTGTTGACAATCTAAGGGAGTAAACTGCCCTCTGCTGGTGGCAGAGATTTTTTTCATTCTCTTTCTTCTCAGTCCTGGAATTTCTCTCCTCTATCCTGCGAATTCACTTGCAATTAGGATGAATTACAAATCCAAATGCTGAGTGAGAGAAGTTTTTCAGATTCTTGTCCCTGTGACATGCAGGCAGGTTCCATTGGATTTAGGTTTTGCTGCATGGCAAGAAGATAAATTTTGGGATAGTTGGCCCTGCACACAGCAGAGAGCTGACAGCAACATAAAGCCAACTGTTGGTAGTAAGGAAAGCCATTAGCACTGTGAAAGCAACTCTAACCAGTGGCAAGAGTTCTGTGGTCTGATAGCATCAATGAAATAGAGGCAAGAACCATTGGGGACGGTAACACAGCAGGGGGCATTGATGAGCTCACAGCCCAGGGAGTCCCACACATGATGAGGAATAGGAGGTGACAGTGAAAGTCCCGTAATTTTGTGAAAGTATATGAAAAGGTACCATGAGAGTCAGAATTCTTGCTATTAGGAGGTAGCAGGGTGTTCCTTGGGGTGCTGTGATACACATATGGATACCAAGAGCTAAAAAAGATCATACTGAACTTTTTAGTGGTAGTTCCTAGAAATGTATTGTGTCTTTTAGCATCTCATCTCTTTAAATGTCTGTCATGTTCCAGCGATCAGTGGCTGCAGATTGGGAGAGCAGTGAGATGGGACTTCAGCTGTAGCATTTGGTGGGCTGATAGCACACTTAGACTTAACTGGGAGAAAGCAGATTGTGAGAGAAACTTTCTGGTCAGAGAAACTAGATATGAGGAAACTAGATACTATAGAAGTCAGAGGAAAGAGAGATGTAAATTGGATACCTTCCCCATCCTTGAAGCTACTTATATATTTTCAGACCAAAAATTTTTAAGATAGAGTGAAGGTTGTAAATGTGTCAGTGACCCAAAGGTAAAACACCTGAGTAAACAGTTGCAGTTTTAAAATGCAAAACCAGCAAAAAGCTAAGAAATCCAAATCAAAGACTGCACTTAAATTCTAGATGGTTTGGAAATGCAGAGTTAAGGTCCCCCAAACAATCTTCACTCTTCTATATCCCTGGTACATAGGGCACTCTCTGTATAAAGTGTCTGTGACAAAAACGGCATTGTCACAGCTGCTTTGTATGGTTAACCTTATGTATGTTGATTCCACTAGAAACCCAGGTGGCTGCTGCATATATTTTGGCATCTTGCCTACAGCTGCAGATACTCCCCTAGTTTACTGTGACTTACATAACAGTATTTATAGCATATCATCAAGGTGATTAAAAAAGAACATGACTACTGTGGACAGGAAAGGCTTAAGATGATTGCCCATAAATAAAATAAATCTAGGTATTTCAGTATGCTTTACAAACATAAATTAATTGAAACTCACAACACCTTGTGAAAATAGAGTATAATTATCCTCATCTAGAGATGGTCTGGAGAGGTGAAAGTGACTTTCTCTAGGTAGCACAGAAAGTCTGTGTCAGAGCCATATTTAGACTTGAGGTCTCCTGACCCATAATCCTGTAAAGTGCTTCTTTGTGAAATCATATTTTCCCCTTCTGGAAAATGTCTGGGCACTCAGATGCATCAGTGCTCTAAAAGGGTGTTTGACAAAGAGAGGTGAAATTAGATGTCGTCTTATGATGTTTAGCACAGTCAGCCAGTTACAAAAGGAGTGAGATTTCTTCATTCAGTTTCAATTTTGCCTGCAGGCATTGATGGCCCAGCTGCCTTCCTGAAGCCAGAAGTACAAGACTTGGGGACCAAACTCCAAATCCTCTCTGTAGGATCATCCACAACAGAAGATGATGCAGATCAGGACAATGATGAAGAGACCCTGATAGACACAGCTGCCAAGCCAGATCTGCAAGAAATACTACAGAAACGAGGTGAGAGTTGGCTATATGGAAGATTTGGATAGGAATCTCTGAAAGGGTTTTTCTAGTTCATAATTTTATTTTTTATTTCATCAGAAAGCTAAAAATTCTGATGAAATATCTCATAATACAATTGTTTATGTGAGTTTCCATACACAAAGGCAGCCAGCAATTTCTAGAACACACATTGGCAGATGAGTAACAGTCATTGAGATGCTAATAGTAACTGGCATGTAACTAACACATTTTGAAAGATTACAGAATAATTTCTGGTCTTTCCAAAAGAAGTAATCACAAATTGCCACTCTTGGGTTTGCCAGAATCCAGGACATTTTTATTCCATGTACCTATTTGTTAATATTGCAACAACACAACATAGTTCTTAGTTATTAGAAATCTCCACAGCCAACAATGCAGTAATTACTTAACTGTTCAGGAAAGGTGCCCTTCCTGACTCAGAGGATATCCCAAACAGTTGTTATAGAAAGTATTCTTAAAGCTTTATTGTTAAGTACTGTGTCCCGTTGAGCAATTTTGCATCAGTGTGTCCACTACTGCCAGTACTGCAGGAAGTCTGTTAGTTGTGTCCTGTCTAAACTTTTTGAAGTGAAATAAAAATGAGTACTATATAATTCAATACATAGTTCACACTGCCTTGTCATAATTCTCATCTAAAAGATTCTCAAAGGACTTAACCTACAATTTAATTTGTAGGAATCGTTTCATCCACCATTCCGAAGCAACAGTTGTTTACCAATGAACAGAAACATTACACAAGAGTTACGAAAGGAAAAGAGAGAATATCTGATTGAAATTCAGGGAGGCAGAATATAAATACTCAGATTAGAATTGGCCAGAACACCAGGGTTAATGCCTTTCCTCTTTCAAAAGATGCTTATTGCAAGTGGTCAGGAATTTAGCTTTATATCTCATCCAAAATGCCCTGTATGTACAGTACCATTTTGGGACACTATTTAATATTGATTTGTAGGGAAGAATGCAACAGACTCAATAAAATCATGTACTACTGTACTTCTCACTTCTAAACCTGCTTACCAGGGGAAATCACATATGATCACAAAACAAAGTGGTGCGACTCTCCAAGTATGAGTCCTACGAAGTTTATAGAAATTCCTTCTCAGTTCTTCAAGTATATGTGGGTACTGTGTACTGTTGACTGGAAATTATCTAGCAGTGTCTGCAGACCTGAGCATATGCAGAACAGCTCCTCATATGCTGTCATGTAGGGAGCTGTGGACCCGCTGCGACTCATTTATCTCTCAACTCATCTGTGGCTAGAAACTTCTCAAAACTTGGTGTCTGCTGTTCCACAGCTTCCCACTTTTCTCAGTTATTGTGAATTAATCTTTCTTTTGTTTAGTTATTTATTTTATTTATTTTATTTCATTATTTTTATGTAATTTCAGAACAGTTATGATTTCAAAAGGGAGGGGTGTCGCTCACTTCCGCACCACCTTTCAGGACTTCTGGTTTAGTGCACTGCACCAAATTAAGCTAAAGATACTATGGTTTAAGTTTAAGCCCTTCCCACAGGTTTTTCCCCATAGCAACAGGAATTTTAGTTGTCTCTGGTGTCTCAGAGAGACCTGCTTCCCATCAAAAGGCAACTCTTCTCAAGGTTTAAAGACAAGTATAGAAAAGACAGGGAACCTTGCTTAATGGAATGCATCTTAACTTTTGAGGGGTCTGCATCCCCACTTGCCCATTGGCTTCAGCAGCTTAGGCAGCTCCAGTGACATGAGAACAGCCCCAGAGACAGCGACTTTTAAGAAAAGAACTCTTTCGCTTTTCAGGGAAACAAAGACAAATGGTATGTCACCCCATAAATCTCAGTCATGGGAGACCCTGAGTCCCCTAAGGAATAATCTAGAACTCTTTTTATGAGGTACTGACACCTTGGTGCCAGTTTCACTTGGAGACTCAGAGTGAAATTGGTAGCAAAGCTTCAATACCACATAAGGAATTGTGTGCAGAGAAGTCTTCCATGCACAAATATTGGCTCCAATATCAGTATCATCCAATACTTCTCAGCACCTTGATGTACACAGGACTTCTGCCTGTACTCTGGTACCATCATATCTTACAGCTCCAATGTCAAAGAAGCTTCTCTGTCAACGTCTCCAGTACTGCATGCACCAATTCTTCCTGGGCACTAGTCCACAGGCCAGCTCAAGGACCATAGGCTATCATAGCTCTCCACTAACCTTGAGATTCTTTTCCATTGAATATCTTCTCATTTTGGACAAACACGGGTCTCCCCTACTAAGGAACTCTACTAGAGTTCTCTCTTGGGTACTGCACTGACAGCTGAAACCTGACTTCCAACACTTGGTACTGGCATCAGTGCCCCTGGACCCACCATTTTAGCTTAGAGGTGGTATTTCTGACTCTGAGGTCTCTTACAGGGTAATGAGCAGGAACCTTCACATCTCTCAAGTCCATTTACTGAGGAGGACTTTGTAGAACAGTTTTAGAGGGCACCATCTAGAAAGAAAACCCAACACCACAAGTACTGCCTCATTCATAGGCATTGACAAATCATCCGTCATGTGTATTTATTAGACAGCTTCTTACTCATTTCACTAAAATGTCACTATGCTCAGAAAAGCAATATCCCACGAGAAGAAAACTCACATTAGGAATATAAGGATTCATTCAGTAATGTTTGAGAGACACTCGGTCTTACAAACTACAACAAGGAGCATCATGTATATATAAATGTAAATATGCAAGGAGTATCATGTACGTAGAAATATGTAAAAATAAATTTATATAACATAGGGGTCTGGAATTAGGCTACTGAGTTACCATTTTGGTATCTAAATAAGTGAGCTGATTTTCAGAGATATGGAAATAAGGATTTAGGTGCATAGCTTTAGACTTTTAAGTCAGCTAAAAGGGCATCATTACTACCCTAATATTACTTTCCCATGTAACTAGTCATGGCAGGTATGTTGTGGGTTAAAGTGAGGATCAAAGCAGAGAAGGTAACTGAGTATCATGTGAATTGGTGATGCTGTGCATTCATGACACCTGCTTGGTCCTGCATTTTGACAGGGATCTCAGGCAGTTTGAATTTTGATGAGGACACAGAAGAGGAGGAAGAAGCTGGAAAGAGGTCAGGATCTCATTCTCCGTATTCTGAATCTGAGAGGCCTAGTTCTGCAGCCAGCCAGAAATCTGCGACAGTAAGTGTCAGACCATGCCTTCTAATGCCCATATGTAAGGTGCTGACTTGTATCAGCCCACAAGGGACTCATTCCCATAATCAAAGTCTCTTTCCAGGCACAGTTTTATTTTCCAGACATATACAAAACAAACAAACAAACAAAAAGATACAGAAATAGTCCTCAATCCACCCAAGACTACACCTCTTTTTCTCTTTTGTCTGTCACTGCCTGATTCTTTCTTGCTCTTTTGGTTGAGCACTGTCTCTCAGGACTTTCTCCTTGGAGGCTCCTTTCTACTCCAGCAGGTTCTTTCATCCTCCTCTCTTAGGGGACTCTGGCAGCATCTTCCAGGGAACTCCTTGATGCTCCTGTTCCCCTGCTTCTCCTTCCTTACTGACAACCTGGCTGTAGGAAATGTGATTCCCCTCCTCAGCTGCACCTAATTAATGAACAAGGTTGGTTGGCCCCAAGCTCTGGCTGTTAGAGGAGAAAACAACCTAGTAAAGCACCTCAGTGTTAAAACATGCTAGTTCCAATCCCCAAACTGTAGCCAACCTGCTCAAACCTGAATCCAGAGGGAAGCCATGGTGTTGACTTCTGTACCTTATATCCAGTCCTCCACTAACTTCCACTGCCATCTGTGCCCCTTTGTTGAGCTGCACCTTCTGCACCTTTATTGTTGTCACTGTTCCTCTAGTCACTGCTCACTCATGCTATGGGGAGATCTAATTCCACTATAGATACAGACTGAGCGAGCATAAACACGCTGATGGTTTTAGCCCATTGTCCCATAGTTTTCCCCAGCCTGTCCTAATCCAAGATCCAGACTGACCCAAAAGTGCTATTCCTCATACAATCTTTTTTTTTTTTTTATACAGTACATTTTAAGCTTAGCTTAGAGGTAAATGTTGTGCTAAAAGGGATGTTCCGCCCTTTGAATATTACAGCTTTTCATCCTAGGTCCTCTCCCCAGCAAGCCATTCTGTCCTCTAGTTGTTGTGGACTCTAGACCAATTTCTCCTTCCTCTTTCTCTGATCCAGCTTCACTTCCCCAATATATCATTGCCCTCTGGTGATATGGGGATCTCCTACCCTGTATGCCATTCATCTCTTAAGCTACAAGGGCCTCTGCCCTGATTTCATTTTGCTAATGGGATAGGTCTTCCCACAGGAAAGAGGTGCTTCCTGCACTGCTTCCCCAGAGACAGATGCTCAGCTGGGAGAAGTGGAGAACTTGGAGGAGTTTGCATTACGCCCTGCTCCCCGTGGCATTACAGTGAAGTGTCGAATCACTAGAGATAAGAAAGGAATGGACCGAGGTCTCTTCCCCACTTACTACATGCACCTTGAAAGGGATGACAACAGAAAGGTATTGGGACCAGCACATGGTCTCCAGCCCTGGGCTACTAAACTTCTAGTGCAAAACCTTTAGCTGTGTTGAGGAGCAGTGCTTAAATGGGAAAGGAACAAGGAGCTGAGAAAGCTTTTGAAAAGAAGATGGGGTGAAGGTCTGTATCTGGGCATGGTACTAAGGCAGCTGTTGGGAGGTGTGGAAACAATAGCATAAAGAAGGTGAGCTAAAGCAGCAGTAAAAGAAGAGCAGAGGGATGAGTTTCTGGTTAAAAACTAGAATGGAAAGGTGCTTATAGTCTGAGCCATTCAGTGAGCTCAAGGCAGCCAAGATTTGGGGCTGTTTGGTCATTGGCAGGAGAGAAAAGTTAGTGGAATGGAAGTGACATAGGGATAGCAAGAGGGAGTCTGACAGAGTGGGTAGGAGCTGATAGGTAGAGCAATCTGATAGGGACAGTGGGACGGAGGGCAAAAGTTATGCTGTACCTCTGGGCTCTTACAGAGCTTTTTGTCGTGACTAAAGTTTTTTGTGTTTGCAGACCTTCCTTCTTGCAGGGAGAAAACGGAAAAAGAGCAAAACATCCAATTATCTCATTTCAATTGACCCAACAGATTTATCCCGGGAAGGGGAAAGTTTCATTGGAAAACTCAGGTGAGAGCCACAGATAAAAGCTGTTGAGATGTGTAAAGTTTTTATGTTTGTGTACTGCAAGAGAAGTTGGAGGAATGTGACCTCATTTTTTAATTCATTCTGGCTATCACTTTGGTACCAGTATCTGTTTCAGACAGATAACTGTTGCCATTTATTTGAGGAGTCCTGGTTTAATTTTTTTTCTAGTTCAGGTTTTGGGCTCAGCATAAGAGAGACTTTCATTAGAGCTGTTTACTGTGCTGCTGAAACCCCAGATGGGCCGATACAGTGTAATTGTGTCACTTAGTCCCTTGTCGGGGGAAAGGCGAACATTTCACTGACTCTCTGTTTCCTAATTCTAGGTCCAACCTTATGGGAACGAAGTTTACTGTCTATGATCATGGAGTTAGCCCAGTAAAGGCTCAGGGGCTAGTAGAAAAGGTCCATACACGACAGGAGCTTGCAGCCATTTGTTATGTAAGTTCCTTTTCCTTTAGTCCCCTTCCCCAAGCTCCTGAATCATTTCAGTCCAGGCTTTGGGGATGGCACACATCCTGAAGTTACAGTCACTTTGGTGGAGGTTTTGTCAGGACTTTCAAGCCACATTGGGTCAGTATTAGAACTGGAAGCCTGCAGGAGAACTTCAGGTAGCTTCAGAATGTGTTAGTGATTCAGCAGTGGGTTTTCTAAATTCATCAGCACTGTATCAGTACAACAGGATAATTATAAGGGGCTTTGGACTGCCAGAGGACTTGCAGTAAAGTCATAAAAACAAGATCTTGATTATTTATGGTTCTTCAAGATTTCAATGGCAGATTAACAAGAGATCAGGTGTGTTATCTCCAGTTTTGTCCAGTTTCTACTCTTGTAATCCTAGTGTCCTCTGGAGTTTCCATTGGATACAGGATTCATCTTTTCCAATCCTAAAATATTATGTAGTGTTTCTGTGAGCTGTTAAAATAAGCAGAATGTGTCACCTAAAAGGTAGCTTTGTGTTAATAGTGATGATGTGATGTTTCTGTGTATATACAATGAGCAATTCAAGCTTGTAAAATGTTTACTATATACAGGTAAAATCATTATCCTATTCTACTGGTCTCTTCTCAGAAAGACTTGAGATGGAATAAGACAGGTTCCAGCTCCAAGGACCTACAGCAGAGATCCCCAGTTTGTGGGGTGTGCCCCACCTGGGGGATGTGGAAGAATATTCAGGAGGCACAGTTGGAGCCTGAGCCAGTCCCCACTGTTGGTGGGAAAAGAGCACCATACAGCTCCATGCCTGGTGTCAGCCTTGGATGATGGCCCTGTATGCAGGGATCCAGCTGCTGGTCCATCTCCAGCCAAGGCTCCACTTTTGCTTCTGCTCCTACCCCGAGCTATGGCCCCAGCTTCTGCCTTTTTATCCCATCCATGTCCCTGGTGCCAGCTCCAAGGGAAAGGAGAGGGTGAGGACAGAGGTAAGGGGAGGGTGCAAGGTAAAATGTTTGGGAATCATTGATCTGTAGTCTATAGCAGTAAAATGTAATAGGATGTGAGGGGAAGCTGTATAACTGCTATTAATGTTATACCTCATTTTTATCATATGTGCTAGGAACTTTCAGGAGACATCTTGTTGGAATAAAATTGAAATAGCCTTTAAGATAGATTTTTGGCTAAAAGTATTAAGCAGTTGCTGACTAGAAGACCAAAGAAGTCTGTTTTTTCTTCAAGTAATGGTACCTATTGTACTCCATTGTGGATTACACATGTGCACCATGTACCAGGAGTCACAGAATTTGAAAGTAGCATCTATTGGTCTGCACGTGTGTCCCAATTCACCTCATATACCCAAACACGGTGATTAAGGGCAGGACTGACCTACCACCTCTTTTCTTCCTACTCATTGCCACATGGTCCAGGTTGGAAGCTTAGTGTCTTCAGCTCTGATGTTGTTCCTGAAAAACAATAGTGTTAGCTATAAATAGTTTGTGGTTTTAGTAGTCTTAATAGGTTTAGTAGTTTTGGTAGTTTTAAAGTTTTAAGGCTCCAGGGGTCTCCTCCATTCTTCCCCACTCGGGTACTAGGCTGTACCCAGAACCCCAAGCTTCAAACTCTGTATCTTCTGCCTGCAATCTTGATGACCACCAGTTCTGTATCTAGTGCTTCCGACAGGCTCACGTCACAGATTGGTGCAGTATTTTCAGTCCTTCCCCAGCCACACCTGAGACATACCGGCTTTTCACCTCCATATGTACCTCATGGATGGCCATGAGGCATCTATCCCCATACGTCATCCTGAATCAGCAAGAAGTGTGCCTCCTGCTGCAAAGGCTGACTCTGGTCCCGGAGGATCCAGCACCACAGACCCAATGGCAGGGCCTAGTAAGGAGATCAAGAAGCACTTCCATAACAACTAGCCTAAGTTTTCCTCCATGTCCTTTTGAAAGATACTGGACGTTCCTATGAGCAAACCCACTGGTTCAGTCCAGTTTGGGAGAAAATTCTAAATGTAGCCTTAAAAATAAAACAAAAGCTAACAAGAATTAAATACATTGTCCATTTAGACAATAAGATCCTTGCAGAGTTGACAAAGTACAGACACAATCAGAGTTATGCTGTCTATAATAGTGTTTATACCTTTGTTGCTAGCAGAGATCTAGCATATTTCTCCTAAAAAATTTAAAATATCTTCATTGTCTGAGAACCACACTAACCAAATTGTGTAAGCCTAAACGTGCTTTAGGCTTATATTTGAAATTTGGTTAAAGTGGTTTTGGAGGAGAAAAAGAAGTATATCACTCATAGGGAAGGAAACAGTGCTGTTGCTATTTAAATACAGAAGTAACTAGCATGTTTCTGATTTCAGTGTAGACAGGTCGATCTCAGTATCCTCTCTTCTGGCTGAAGCAGTGTTTTAGTTCCTGAAAAGAACTTATTTCCTTGTCTTTTAGGAAACCAACGTGCTAGGATTCAAGGGTCCCAGGAAGATGTCCGTGATCATTCCAGGGATGAATATGAACCACAAGCGGATTCCAATCAAACCACGAAACGTACGTTTGGAACTGGGTCAGATTCCAGTGGAGCAAGGAAAAAAGTTTTAACCTCTTAGTGATCCAAATGTTAATTATTGGCAATCATAGAAATTAGAAGAAAAAGACTTAACTATCCCGTCCTCCAGAAGTTAGGGGGGGATTCTTCACTACACTGTACTTTCCAGGCCATTTTTAAATTACTTCTATATCAGGATTCTACAATTGCCCTGGGGGAGATTAACTTCATATCCAGCCTAAATTGCCATTTTTAAAATTTGGGGATATTTCTTTTTGCTTGTAGCCCTTGTGCGGCCCTCTAAAATGTGTCTCCCTCCTTGATCATTGTATAGCCAGGCTGACAATATTTAACTCTTGTTTTATTTGTATTACTATAGTGCATAGGAGCCCTAGTTATGGCTGGTCTCCATTGTATTATGCACTGTACAAACACAGACTAAAAAGATGGTCCCTGCCCAAAGACTTTACATTCTGTGTATAAATCAAGAGATAACAGGTGGCTGCACACACAGAAAGAAACACGAGAAAACAATGAGGTATGATGGGCAGTGGTCTCAACACATCAATTAAATCTGAGAGGCTCACAATGCTCAGAGAGCATAAGGGATACAATCAAGGCTGACCACCGACCTGGGATGCAGGGTTGATGGGTGCATCTTCTTGTAGCTTTGGTCAAATACCAACCATAGTTTAGCTCATATAGATTCATTATCATCTATGTGGTGTGCAGCATGACACCCCTGAATAAGTAGAGCCCACTGATCTCTAAATCATGGCCCCAATGACATTTCTAAATGTAATTTGTTGATGCCCATTCCCCAAGTTCTATGGGCATCCTTATAGAAACAAAATCAGAGACACAATTAAATAGTAGGCCTATTTTAAAAGCAAACAAACCCAAGAAGCAATAGACAGATCACCACATCCTGCTCAAATCTTTACCATAAATCAATTAATCGGTCACTCAAACCTCCCTGAACAACTGCTTTCCAAGCATCTCCCTCCATGGAATAACTTCAGTTTGAATAGCTTTTTTATTTTTCCAGATTGAAGTTCATTTTGCTACTTGTTATATTTCCTTGCCACTTTGTCCTTGCTACTATTTGCATCTCCTCCAAATTTACTGTTCTTCTCAGATATAGTCAGCTGGTTTACCCCCTTAACATTTCCATGTGGGTGTGTACCTACGCCTAAATGTGGTAGAATAGCAGGGGATGGAGTCCACTTTAATTCATATTTACCTGTAGGCCACTGTAGCCTTTAAATTTTCCACTGCAGCCTCCTACCTTCTTGCATGAGAGAAGGCCCCTGCGGCTTAGAAATAGACTTCTGCAAGTACATTGAGAACTGGAGGAGAAGGTATTCTCACTCTCTTTCCTGGTTAGAATTGACATGCAGTGGGCCCAACAGGAGAGAGAACCTCAGGACTGGGAAAGTATGGAAATATCTCCATGGGTATGTCTACACTACCCTCCTAGTTCGAACTAGGAGGGTAATGTATGCATACCGCACTTGCTAATGAAGCCCGGGATTTGAATTTCCCGGGCTTCATTAGCATAAGCGGGGAGCCG